GCGTCCAACTCTTGATCTCAGCTCAGGTCTTGATCTCAGGGTCGCGACCTCAAGCCATGCATTGGGTTCTGCACTGGACATGAAGCCTACTTAAAAACAAAAATACCAACAAACAAAAAACAGTACTCTAGGTGATTCTGATCCATTCACATATTCAGACACAAGAGGGACATACCTTACTGTAACAACAGCAAAAAAACAAGAGGCTATCGCAGTAGCCTTGGCGTAAGCTGATTTGAATTTGGGCTTCCCCTGCTTCCCCTGATCAATCTGCCTTCCTTGGCCTGTCTTACGTCTAGTAGGGCCTTAAGCTTCTTCTTCCCCACAGAGGATCAGCTGGAAGCCCAGCAAATGTAGACTAGCCCAGAGACCAGACATAGGTTAAAGAGAAGTAGCTACCTTTGCTAGATATTTGTCAAATGGAATCGACAAGACTCAGAGATCCATTGCAGGGGGAGGGGCCAGGGAGAAGAAGAGCCAGGAGTCAAGGATGCTCCCTGGCTTTCTGGCTTGGAGGAACAACAGTTGTATTGGTGTGCCATTCAGTGAACTAAGAACTCAAAGAGGGAAAGTGAAGTGGGGAATTTTAATTGAGATTTGCTGAGTTTGAGGTGCCTCTGGGACATCCAAGTGGAGATGTTCAGAGGTCAATTGGATTTATAGCTTGGAAGCTGAGAACAAGATCTAGGTTAGAAACACATTATTTGAGAATCATTAGCTAATCAATGGTAATAGAAGTAGGTGAAATCATCCCAGGAGAGACAACGGAATGATAAAAGGATCTAAAGCACGATGCAAGGAACATTTAAGGGAAGGTCTGAGGAGGAAACAAAAAATGGCAGTGGGATCAAGGACAGGCTAGAGTCAACAGCCCAAAGTCACAGGGAGGGAATTCAGAGGGGTGAGAAACTGGGAAGCACACTGGATTCAGCACATAAGTCTGTGGTGACCTTGCAGAGAGCAGTTTCAGTGGAGCTCCGGGGACAGCACCAGATTGCTGTGGATTGAGGAGTGAGTGGGAGGTGAGGGAGTGGAGGCAGCTGGCATGGACAGTTTTTCAAGATGTTTGGCCAAGAATGGAGCGAGATTTGGTGGTAACTTAAGAAGGAAATAGAATCGAGGGAGAGTCTTTTTCTATGCTAAGGGAGGAACGGAAGAAAGCATAGGGACCAAGGAAATAATCAATAAAGCCTACCTAGAGGAGCGGGAGGTATCCACTGCACTGGAGTCTGGATTGTTTGTTCTTAAGACAGGAGGGACCTACTTCTTTTTTAACTTGACTGATTGGTTTGGAAGCTCGATATGGGGTAGTTCTCGGACGGATCCTGTTTCCTCTTGGAGGCTGGGAGCCAGGCCATGAATAAGGGGTTTGTAAGGTGAACATCTTTCCTCTGCTAGCGAAGTACGGGTTTACCAGCAAGACACAAGTAGGCACCGCACTGAGGCAGGAGACTGGTGGGAAGCGGGCTGAGGCTGAAGCTTTAAAATTCAAAGGATGAGAGGCTGAGTAAGTATGATGTTCCCACAACCGTGTGGAAAGCTGCATTTAGGCCACTAAACAAGAGGGTTTTTTCCAGAACCTCATGCCAGGGCTTTGACTTAGGCTCCCCCTTTCTCCTCTAGTCAGTCTGCCTTCCCCGGCCTGAGTCTCACGTCTAGGCCTCAAGCCTCCTTGTCCCCACCGAGGACCAGCTGGAAGCCATTTTGATTAAGCTCCACCACAGAAGGAGGACAATACAGCCCCGCCCAGAGCCAGGCGCGCCCCCGCGGCGGGCCGGGTGCGCGTGTCCGCGCCTCTTCCCGCCGGCCTGGCGGGCGCCGGGCCCAGGCCGGGGCGGTGCGAGGCGGGGGGTGGGGGTGGTTATGTAAGCG